CAGTAAAGCCGGTTCTGTGATTAGTAGTAAATCTCCAGTACGTGCGTTCAGATGGAGTGGCATTTACTGGACAGAGCCGTAGATCACTGACAAGCTACGCAAAATCTCGTTCATAATCGGCAATGAATTGCCTGCGATTTTGAATGCTATATTGTGTAGCTTGTCAGCCCTACTTCCAACATTTTCCTTTACATTTTGTACTTTTAATTTGTGACCGGTGTTTTGCTCTCTCCTCTGTGCTTCCGCATTCGTCACTTCTCACCAAAGCTTATGCTACTCTCGTGAACGTGCGTACTACAGATAGTGGAAGCTAGAGATTACAGTTTATAAAATTTTAAATATGGATATTTTCCTTACACAAACACACCGCTTAATTTCAGATGGCCTTTATTAACCCCCCACAGCCTTGTGGAGTACTTTTTATGATGGATGGATGCACTTTTTTGGGCTTCAAAATCTCGACCACCATTCACTGCCATTATAAAGCTTAGAATAGCCAGGACATTTTTTAATATAACTCCGATTATATTCGTCTGAAAGAATAAATTCATATACACATAGGATGGCCTGAGGGTGAGAGAGTCATGGGGTAATTTTCATTTTGGGGTGAACTATACCTTTAAATTCATCAACCTTGCAGTCATTTAATCTAACCTTGTCCATTTCGTATGTCAAGTTTTCAAGATCAGAGTGGTGAACATGGTGAAGACTACGAGACAGAAGAACAGCTCCAAGCTCGCATCCTGACCGCAGCTCTAGAGTTCGTTCCACAGCACAGCTGGACTGTGGAGGCCATCGCAGCTGGAGCAGAGGTTTGTTTCTTAAAACAGTTATATAAGTATTAAATGTAAATATCGTATTAGACAGTATAACTGTAATAATATGCTCTGTGATTCAGACTCTTGGCCTGTCATCAGCTTCCACTGGGATGTTCAACAATGGAGCTGGAGACTTGGCCCTGCATTTCATCGCGCAGTGTAATGCTCAACTTGCTGAGACACTCGCAGAGCAAAATAACCAGGTCCAGCTTGGACAGGCAGAGTGAGTTTAATATTATGAATTATTTAATATGCTAATATACTTGAGAAACAAGTGTGAACAGTGCACCCATCAGTTTAGAGGCCCTTGATTTGAAGGACTTCAGCACACCTGTGGAAGGACTGCAGGACATCACTAGTTTCTCACACTGTGCTGGTGTGATCTTGG